GGCCATGTGGCTCAAGACTGCCAAAACCAAGAAAGCTGCCCTGTTTGCATGGAGACCGGGCACAGGGCGGGAACGGCGAAATGTAAGGTGTTTAAGAGAGGTTTATCGATAGCTAGGCGTAACTACAGACAGAGCATCGCAGAGATGCGAAGCTCGCGCTGTTGACGATGAGCCGCGAACGAGTAGTTCCCCGCCTTTAAATGGACAGTAAATTTATGCAGGTAAATTTGAACAGAAGTCGGATGGCCCACGATCTTCTGTTCAGAACAGTTTATGAGAGAGGCAATGACGTAATAATAGGACAGGAACCAAATAAAAAATTAGCTCTGGCGTCTGGACTTGTGTGTGACATTAACTGCGACTGTTTTGTTTCTGTTCGGCGAGACCTGATTGTGGAGAGCGTCTTTAGGGGCGTTGGCTTTGTTGTGGTCGAGCTGACGGACTTTTGTGTTTTGTCCTGCTATTTTTCTCCCAATGGAGATGTTGCAAAATTTGCCGAGCTTTTGGATGCGATGTCAAACTACGTCCATCTGTGTAATAAAGAAATTATAATAGGTGGGGATCTGAATGCAAAAACCCCATTGATTGGTTCAAATACGGTAAACGTCAGAGGATCTCTACTAGAAGATTTTATTGCGTCTGATAATCTTATTATAGCTAACGAAGGTGGTGTACCAACTTTTAGCGGGCCACAAGGAGAATCACACATAGACTTCACAGCAACTACAAGCGTCATAGGAAAAAGAATTTCTGGATGGAGAGTGGCAACCGATGAGGAGAATTTTAGTGACCACAGGTCTATCTATTTTGCCCTGAAATATACAAACCCTCAAAAGAAAAAAAGCAAAGAGAGCAAAGGCTGGGTAATCTCACAAGTAGAGTTAGAAAAATTTAGCAAAAACGTGAAGCTTGAACTAGAAGAACGGGATTGTACACCGGATAAACTTGTGGAAATAATAACGACAAATTGTGATAAGTATCTGAAACCAAAAACATGGAAAAATGGCTGTCAACCGGTTTACTGGTGGAATAAGAAAATTAGCGAGAAGCGTAAAGAGTGTAACAGACTACGCAGACTGTATATGAGACAGAAACAGAAGGGTCTAACAACAGAAACGTTAAACACAAGTTATAAAGATGCCAAAAAAAGTTTAAAAAGGGAAATAAATAAAAGCAAATCTGAGAGCTGGAAGAGACTGTGTGATGAATTGGAAGAGAATGTGTGGGGTAAGGCGTACGGTATTATAACAAAAAGAATGAATTTAAAAAATAAAGCATTTCCCGACAAAAGAACTACCGAGGAACAAATACAAAAACTGTTTCCTAGAGAGCCTTTGGAATTCTGGAACCTGCCTGAGGTTGGAGTAGAAAATGTACTGACCTTAGAAATGGAGGAACTTATGGAAGCGGTGGATCAACTGAAGGTGAAAAAAGCTCCGGGTCCGGATCAAATAACTCCGGAAATTCTAAAAGTCTGTGTAAAGAAGGCTCCCGGCGTGTTCTTGAAGGTCTTTAACGATTGCTTTAGGAAAGGATGGTTTCCTGAGAGATGGAAGAGGTCTCGTCTAGTTTTAATCGAAAAGCCTAGAAAAAAACAGAATGCAGAAATTACTTATAGGCCTATATGTCTGATAGATACGGCAGGAAAATTGTTGGAGATGGTAATACGTAATCGGCTTCAAAAAGAAATTAGCAAAAAAAAATTAGTGCAAGGAAATCAATATGGATTCACAAAAAACAAATCAACTTTGGACGCGATGAAGGCAGTTATGGACGTAAAGAAATCTATTAAAACTAAAGCGTTGGCAAACCAAGAATTGTGCGTTATGGTACTCTTAGACATTAAAAATGCGTTCAATTCCGCTTCGTGGAAAGGCATCATGGAAGCGTTGACAAAAGGAAAAGTTAGTGAATACTTAATAAAAATAATTGGTTCGTATCTATCAGAGAGAAGAATAATTACTGCGTTTGATGAGGAGAGAGTAATGTCGTGTGGAGTCCCGCAGGGATCGATCTTAGGTCCGACTTTATGGAATGTGTTTTATGACCGAATTCTGCGCGTTCAGATGGAAAGTGGTGTATCCTTAATAGCATACGCAGATGACTTAGCTATCCTGACACGGGGTAAAACAGCTAGCCAGGTAAAAGAGAAAGCACAATATTCAGTGTATATAGTCGTAGATGAACTGCGTAAAATGGGTCTTTTGGTTGAACCTAAAAAGTCCGAATTACTGATCGTGGAAGGGCGCAGAACACTGGCTAGTATGGACTTGACCGTGGATGGAGTCGGGTTGAGTTCTTCAGAAAGTGTAAAATATCTGGGCGTGACCTTCGATCGCAATTTACGCATGACAACGCATGTTAAAAAAACAACAGAAAAGGCGCTTCAAATGACAAATATTCTAAGGAAAATAATGCCGAATATGGGCGGACCCGGAAGCAAGAACAGAAAACTACTACGAACGGCAGTTATCTCGGTAGTCGCCTATGGCGCGCCAATATGGAAGTCGGCATTAAGATATCAAAAGTACGCGATCATGCTAGAAGCAGTAAACCGAAAATTGGCGCTGGGAGTTGCAGGTGCCTACAGAACGACGGGAACAAAGGCAATTTTGGCAATAACGGGTCAACCACCGATCGACTTGATTATACAGGAAAGAATGGAAATGTATGAAAAAGGAAAAGATTTCAGAAATCAAGCACGAGAGAGTATTTTTGATCAATGGCAAGCTCGATGGAATGAATACAACGGTTGGACGAAGACATTTATAAGGAATGTGAAAGAGTGGACGGAGAGCAAGTTCGTTAGGGCAGATTATTATGTCACACAAGCGCTCACAGGGCATGGTATCTTTGCCACGTACCTTAAGAATATCAAAAAATTAGATTCAGACAATTGTTGGTTCTGCGGATCGATAGATACACCGGAACATTGCATTTTCCAATGCTACAGATTTGAGGAGATCCGAATGAGCGCGGCAAGAGAAATAGGAACCGTAATGACAAAAGAAAATATTGGAGATTTTATTATATCCTCCGAAAGCAATTTTAAAAGTGTGGCTGAGATGCTCAGGAAAATAATGAAGTTTAAAGAAGTAGAAGAAAAAAAGAGAGGTGGTAATCCGTAATGTTTTGCTTTTTGTTTGTACCCGTGTGCGAGAAGTTTTTTTTCTTTTTTTTTTTTCCCCCGAAGTAATACCAGACCCTCTGGTAGTTCCGGGGATGCCCTCTTCCTGGAGGATGAAAGGTGAGGGGTTTTTAGTGGGTAGGCAGCCCCACGGGACTGAATCCCACATAACCTAGCCGACAATGAACATCGTCGGCACAAAATCCAGCACAACATCGGCTGGGTATCTTTGGAAGATTTTCCCCTCACCCCAAAAAAAAA